GGGTTCGAGAGTTCGACGGAAGTCCGGACGGTTGTCTGAGGTTCTACGGGAATAAATCCGAGAAGTCCAGGAGCTTGCCAAAGAAGCTCATCGGGACTCGCAAAGTTAATCGTCACAAGTCTAGGAGTTTGCCGGAAGTCCACCGGAGCATCGCCGAAGGTTCGTCAGACGTTCGCCGGAAGTTCACCGGAAGCTCGCCGGAAGAAGTGATTGACGCATCGGAGCAAGTAGCAGTAAATGTCTTAAGAAATATCGCAGTTAGCATATAGATTAAGTTAGGAATGGGAGGTGATCCCATTAAATTAATTTGGGGGCAATTGGGCCCTTGATAGACCCAAATTGGGCCGAATGGATCAACTCATTCGGACCAGAATTCCTGCTAGGCGGTGGCACCGCCAAGGTCGGTGGTGGCACCGCCTAGGAGATAGTCTCCCAGGAAAGCTAGGCAGTGCAACCGCCCAGGTTAGTCGGTGGCACCGCCTGGGCTCAATCTCCGAGCGAGACTAGGCGGTGCAACCGCCCCAGTCAAGCGGTGGCACCGCCTGGGCTCAGTCTCCGTGCGAGACTGGGCAGTGCAACCGCCCCTGTCTGGCAGTGGCACTGCCAGAGCTCCGTCTCCGAGCTCTGTCAGGCGGTTGTACCGCCCTAGTCAGGAGGTAGTACCGCCAAGACCCCGAAAATCCGGGAAAAGATATTTTTGAGCTCCAAATTCAAATGAGTTTAGGGCGTATATATACCCCACCCTTTCCTGTATGAAAGGACACCAAAAATCCAATCTTACTCTGAGATTTTTAGAGCTCAAAAGTGTTGTAAAGGCTAGAAGATCTCCTCCCTCTTTTCTTCCAAGTTTTGATCTTTCAAGAGAGGAGAGAAAATTCTATAAGGGTTGTCTCCTAAGCCCGTCAAAAGGAGTGAAACTGTAAAAGGGTGGTTGGCCTTCGCCTATTGAAGGAAGGCCTCTAGTGGACGTCGGTGACTTCATCGGAGGAGGAAGCCAAAAGTGGATGTAGGTCAAGATTGATCGAACCACTCTAAATCTCAGTTTGCATTTACTTTATGTTCTCTATCTTAACTACAAACTGCCTCGATAGCTTTACTTTAACTGCACTTCGCCTAATCTAAGTTAAAGCACCTTCTGAATCGGCTTTTATACCGAAATCACTTTTATCGTACGAATGTCGTATTTCGGTTTGCAATTACATTCTATTCTCTATCTTTACTGCAAACTGCCTCTATATCTTTACTTTAACTGCATCTCGCTTGATCACAAGTTAAAGTGATTTTCGAATCGGCTTTCTTACCGAAATCGTTTTTATCGTACAAACGTCGTTTTAAATCGTCGAAAGTTTTCCGCTGCACTAATTCACACCCCCCCCCCTCTTAGTGCTCTTGATCCTAACATTTCACTCCTGCCCAACATTGATTATTCCTGCTTTAATTGTCTCTTCATGATCGAAGCTAGTCCTGCATGACTCAAAAATGCATATTAGATCATAACTTTATCAATTGATATTATTATCAAAATTTGAGATTCAATAGTATTATCGTTACTTTAGGATCATAACTTTTTGGAAGGAATCTTAGAATCTTATTTATAAGTTTGAGATTAGAAAAATATTTGCCAAGAGCTTTCAAGCCATTGACGACATCCATAAAACGGGTGTACATGTCAATAATGGTTTCGCTTGGCTTCATTCGAAATAATTCAAAATCATGCATTAAAAGATTTATTTTATACTTTTTTTAACTATATTCATGCCTTCATGAGTTACTTCTAATGTCTGCCAAATCTCATGTGCAGTTTCACATAAAGAAATATGATTAAACTCATTTTTGTTAAAAGCACAAAATAGAGCATTCATAGCTTTAGCATTCAAGGATAAAGTCTTCTTTTCCAAATCATTTTATTCATTCATTGATTTACAAGACTTTTTAAAATTACTTTCAACAATGTTCCATAAATTGAAATCTATAAAAAGTAAGAAAACTCTCATTCAAGTTTTCCAATGTGTGTAGTCTGTCCCATTGAACATAAGAGGACAAACGATAGAAAGACCTTCTTGATTGCCGGCAAAAGTCATTTCTCTTTAGTGTTAAACCAACTGAGAAAAATATCGCTCTGATGCCAACTATTATGATTAAAATTGGCATTAAGAGAGAAGGGGGGGGGGGAGGGAGGGGAGGGAAGGGGAAGGGAGGGGGAGATGAATTATTGCTTACATAAGAATTACATCGATTTGAAAACTCGTTCAATATAGAAAAACCATTTCAATAAAGCTCGTATCATAAAGTATTTAAGCTTGACTTAGAGTAAATGTAAAGTAAAATGAGCAGCTAAGTAAGCAGCAAAGGAAAAGAGCACACCAGATTTATAGTGGTTCTGTCGTCGTGACCTATATCCACTCCCGATTCTTGTTCACTTGAGGCCATTGGCCTCCATTACCGATCTTCTTTCCAATGGGCGAAGATCAACTACCCTTACAACTCTTTCTCATTTTCATAGGTCCAAGAGAGAACCTTTTACCATTCTTTTATAAGTGTTCCCTCACACACCTCCCTTAAGACTATTACTAAGCTCTAGGAGGAGGGACTCTATACTTTAAGATATTATAACCTTGGAATCACAAAGTTTTTATTTTACTTTTGTGTATTTTCCAAGCAAGAATTTGTAGGGTATTTATAGACCCCAAATGGCTTCAAAAATTGGAGCCAAAATTCAAATCCTCCGATATTTGGGGTATTGGCGATAGCACTGCCAATATTGGGTGGTACCACCACCTGCCTGACTGACAACTAGTAGTACCATCGCTTGTCAATTTAACACTGGGTGGTACCATCACCTGACATAGTTTGAGAGACTTTGTTTGGGTGGTACCACCGTCGGTTTGGGCGATACCACCCTTTGGACAGCTTAGGAGGCCGAGCCTCAAGCAGTGCCACCGCCAGCCCTAGTTGTGCCACTGCTTAGGCCAGCTAAGAGTCACTGAATGAGCCTTTCTCTTAGCCCAAAATAGCCCCAACTCTGGCCCAATGGGCCCTAATTGAGTTAGTCTGATTACACTCGAAACTAACTCAATTAGACCTAAACTACTTCGATTAAAATAAATTATTTCAAGCATGAATCCTATATTATCTGGCATGTCATTAGTTCATCCAACACTTCGTCCGATCTTTCGGCACATCGTCCTCTCCTTTGGCGTATTGCCCAATCGGCATGTTGACCTCCACAACATCCGATCTCATTGACATAATGTCTGATCCTTCGGCCCGATGCCCGAACTCATGGTACGAAGTCCTTCTATCGATACATCGACCGATCCTCCGGCTCAACGTCCAATCCTCTTGCTTTAATTGATTTGTTTTTTCTAATCGAAGTTAGTCATGCATCACTTAAAATGCAGATTAAATCATAAACTCATCAATTGATTTCATCATTAAAATCTAAGATTCAACACCAATGACATGCCGGACAATATATGATTCATGTTTTATAATCGTTTATGTCTTGATCATCATAGTTTAGGTTTTAATTGAGTTGGTTTTGGGTATTATTATGCCAACTCAATTAAGGGCCCATTGGGCCTGAATCAAGGTTGATTTGTGCCTATTGGAAGGCCTATTCAGTGACCTACAATTGGGTCGGGCAGTGGCACCGCTAGACTAGGCGGTGGAACTACCTATGAGTTGGAAAGTATAAAGTATATATTTTCGAAAGACCTGACAGTGGTACTGCTAGTGTCAGGCGGTGGTACCACCCAAACTATCGATAGAACCACTAGAATACAATCTTCGAGACTATGTCAAGCGGTGGCCCACCTAGACTAGCGATAGTACCGCTAGAACACAGTCTTTGAAACTGTGTCAAACGATGGTGCCGCCAATGCTCAGTGCCATAGGCGGTGGTATCGTCCAATACTGGTGGTATTACCACTAGTACCCTGAAAACCTATGGATGAGACTTTTTGGCTTTATTTTTGAAGCAATTTGGGGCCTATGAATACTTCACTCATTCTTGCTTGTGATAGCAAGAAAAGAGCATGAAAAACTTGTGATTCTAAGTATACAAACTCTATTGAAAGTCTTGAGTATATTCCTTCTCAATCTTCTAAGTCATTCTAAAGGAGTTGTGAGAACTACTTGTAAAAAGAGTTGTAAAGGGTTCTCTCCTAAATCTGTGAAAAGGAGAAAAGACTTGTAAGGGTATTTGATCTTCTTCCGTTGAAAAGAAGATTGTTAGTGAAAGTCGATGACCTCGATGGAAGAGGAATCGGGAGTGGACGTAGGTTACGATGACCGAACTACTATAAATTTGGTGTGCATTTCCTTTCTTTCTTTTCATTCTTATTACTAATTGATTTACTTAGCTTAGTACTTTCACTCACATTTTAAGTTAAAAGCATTTCTAATACGAGTTTCATCAAACAAAAGTTTTCAAATCATAATTTTTCGAAAGCTGGTGCCTTTACGATCCTAACAAGAACAATAAACATGGAATTGTTAGTCTTTTTATTATCAAACATTTGAATTATAGTAAAGGAAACTTATGTGACTAATTCTATAAATAAATTAAGTTGATCGACTTTTGATTGTTATCAAGATTACAAATTTTTGAATATTTACCGAGTGTGTCTTCATATTTGGAACGTGAAAGTGTTCATTGTATTTTTTTCTTGAAAGAATTAAAGAATATTCGGAATATTTTATTTTTTTGATATATTTGAAAATACTATAACACAGTGTAAGAATAATATAATTGATTTTAAAAAATATGCTGTATTTTAGGTATTAGATAAAAAAAAATATGCTGTTTGAAAATTCTGAAAATAGGATCACTTCTCAAGAAAAATTCAGAATTTGTTTTCGGAAATTCGCCCTAATAACAAGAATTTTGACTTTTCTATTTTGTTATACACACTCCTTTTGAAAGGGCGTTGGATGGGCTGTTGAGATCGTCTTTGTGCCGACTCGTGCCGACTCGGAAGCCGTTCAAATACATATATATGTTTATTCACCATCACAAAAAATAGAACGAACGCATCGAAACGGGTTGTGGCGCGGATGCTCTCAGTGAGCGTAGATGAGTCCGCTGATGGAGCTCCGAGCGCTGCCTCCTCCAACCCTCGCTGGTAATCCTCGTTTTGCGTCAACAATAGGAAATCTTCCCAAATTGTTAGGTCTTTACTTGGTCGATAAATCTCTTCTTCCGGTGCTAGTTGTTTTCTGCTGTCCAGTTGCTTGTGGAAATGCCCTTTCGACGTGGAACAAGGAGAAGAAGAAGGGGAGAGAATTTGGGATAAGAAAAAGAGAACTTTTTTCCTTTCTTAGAATTGCCAAGTTCCCTTGGTTCTCTCATTTTATAGATGATTTATACATTTAATATCTCAGCCACTACCTAACTGATCTATTTTCCAATGCTACCATTTATATTCAAGTATGGCCATGCACTTCATCACCCTTGAAGCAAATTTAAATAGTTCTTTCTGTAATTAGAACATCAAATTTGTTTTTTTCAAGCAAGAAATATGGAATAAACATGCAGCAAGGATGATAAGTCAGGAGTATGAGTGTTAAATCGTGTACACTTGTTACGATAGCGAACTTTCTTATTGTATCATGGTCTAAAAGGAAGATGGCATTGGCTAATCTGTAGGGTGCATGCTTCCATCAGTTAGACAACATACTCATGGCCTAAGGATTCGTTTGACCTTCAAATCAAAGGATTATTTAATGTTTATTCAAAGACGGATCATGCGGCACATGTCGTTGAACATAAGAAGCTCAGCAGAGAATGATAGTGGCATCAAAGATGATATGAAGGCAGCTTCCTCCATAAAACCATTTTATGATGCCCGTATTCTCTATAGCATGGCACCAGCCATGGGTCATAATAAGGTAATTTATTCTTGAGTACCTTCAATAATTTCATGTTTCATGTTAATTTTTGGTTCCTGAAGGATATTCTACTTTCATTTACTATCATTGAAAATAAGAATGACTTCCAGTATTCAAGAAAATTTTGTTAGTGTTTTCATGGGCTTAGCACTGTTAGGCTAAGTCGTGGAACATTCCATCTTCACACACCTGCAAAAAAAAGTCAGTCAAATCAAAAGTTCTCAAGGGATCAGTCACTTGGCTGCCTAAATGGGAAACCCAACAAACAATCTTGATAGGAAGTGGTCAACTTAATATTCTTTATTTACCTCTCAAGTACTATCCCTGGATGGTTGAGATGGTAGACAAACTGTCAGCCTGTTTCTTTTTGAACTTTGCAGCCTGCTGCAAATGAAAACCCTACTTACTGCTTGATGCCTAGTATGACCTCAGTATGGTAAGACTGCTTGATGCCTAACCTCCTTGTGGCACAGTCTGTCAGAAAGTCTGACAACCCACTTCCGCAGCCATGACACACAAATTTTCCTGCCATGGTGTAGTAAAATGGCTTGAGGGAACCATGTGATGGACACAGAGGACAGAATTGAGATTATGAACAAGACTCAACTAGGACCTGTTACGACATTTACAGGTTATTTTAATAGCTCAGACAACAATTCCTAACAATACGCTCTTGGTAAATGGCTGACAGATTTGCCATGAGCATAGCATGAAGAATCTTTATGAAGAATATTTAATTTAAAAAAAATTAATTTAAGTTAACAGACAAGGCTATTAACTTAGAGATGGTTTTAATTTAAGATGTCATAGCCAATCATGAAATTTTTTTATGTCCTAGTTCATTGAAAGGTTCATTTACCATACCTTGTTGATAACATCACCAACCAATCAATCCTACAGTCAATGGAAAGGATGTGTTTTTATTTATAGGATTTTTCTTTTCTTTGGAAATCGACATCAATGTTATGAACTAAGTCAAACTATCTTCTTAATCTGTCTTTTCTTACACATATCTTACATGTTTTAGGACTTTGTAAGGTCTTCTGAAATATCTGGTTTCATTTACTATAGTAAAGAAAAAAAAAAAAATTGTTGCTGAAATCTTAAATACAGTAATCAAATTAAGTGTATATACAGGAATCTCACCCAGAATCAAATAAAAGGGTGCCAGCAATTATTGATGCTCTTGAAAAGTTGGAACTCTCTCCTAAGGTATGAGATATGTTATATATTTCTTTTAAGAGCAATTTTAATATCTTGTTTTCTTGTCATAAGTTATATTCAATTTTCTTTAATCTTTGATTTTCTATATTAGTAAGTTCTGATGGTACTTTCAGACTACTTTGAGTCTGTAGTTTGTATTTCTTGGTATGGCTCCTTAAATTTGGATAAAGCATGTTGCATTTGTTTGGTTATGTTTTACTTAGTGCATTAAATGCTGGACCACATGACGTGCAAAATCATTGGAGTAGTTGACATGGCAATTAAATATGATTGTTCAATAAATGATGATTAAGTCACACAAATCAAATTCAGTGAGAACTTCAGGTCATGATCTATTAGCAAAATTTAAAAAAGAATATTTGGTGATTTACATGGGCAAAAGCATATTAAACACCTACTATGAACTTTTCTTCCTTCTTTGTTTTATAAAAAAATTTCTTAGTGAATACATGACCCATAAAATATAATATGTTAATATAATTGCATAGGAATTTGAAGAGTTCAAAAATGGATTGATCATACATTAGTGAAAAATTGTAATAATCGAAGTATTAATAATTGTTTTGCATAGTGTATTTCTTAAACAAGTTTCAACTTCTTTGGACATTTCTCTTCTTTCTTATGTCTACTACAAGGTTAGATAATACAGTCTTTTATCTAGTTATTGTATTCATTTCTTGAGTAAAATTAGATACCATAAGACTAATTGGAATAGATACTCCTTTATCTCCATGAATTTATGGTAAATTTTATTTTGCTTCCATATAAGACTATGTCATATTTATTGGAAGCATAACACATTGTCAATTACAGTACCGCTATTCGGAGGTGTTTGAAGTACAAAACTTTCGACCTGCTACTATGGATGATATTGCACGTGTCCATGCAAGAACCTACATTACTGGCCTTGAGAAGGTAGTAGTTTCTTTTTTTTGTTGTAAATCATAACATGTGTGACCTCTCTTTTGTTGTAAACTATATTTCTCGTCAAACATTTTGCTTTACTTTACAAGCTCCATAAACACCATTATGAAGAAGTGTTGTCATTATAATCCACCATAAGTTTACAAGTGGAAATTCTTTCGACTACTAGGATTGATGCAAGAACATGATTACCTGCTTCAACCTTTTGTTTTAAGTAAACTCACTAGCAATCCTTTGGTGACAAACTATCACGTCCTTAACTGGAATTACCTAAGACGTGTGACACCCAAGTGATACCCGTTTGTAAGGGTCGGACTAGATCTTAACCTCGTGTAGTCCACAAAGGACATGCACAATGAAGAAAAGGTTAGAAAGAGAAACGCGTGGATAATATACCACTGTCACACACAAAAAGGGCAAGATAACCGGGATCACAAGCAACATGAAGCAACTAGCTTTTACTAGGCACGAAAGGGTCTAAAAAGTGGCCTAAATGAGGGCACACAAACAAGGTTCTGAAGGTAGATGCAGACCCAATGTTCACCTAGCACTTTCGTTGAATAAAAAGTGAGTATACTAAAGACATTGTATCATTCCTTAAACATAAGCCCTGTTGAATCTCGGATTTTGATGATGAAGTCAATTGATGAAGTTATGAACTAATCAGCGTTTGAGTGACGCAAGACTAACTTTGATCATGGAAAGACAAATCGATTAAAGCAGGAGAATCAGACGTTGGGCCAGAATGGATAATGTCAGAAGATTGGACGTCGAGCTGGAGGATCGGTTGACGTGCCGATAGAAGGACTTCGTGCCATAAGTTCGGGCATCGGGCTAGAAGGATCAGATATTGCACCAAGGAGATCAGATGTTGCGGGAGGTCAACATGCCGATGGATCGAGCAATACGCCGAAGGAGAGGACAATGTGCCGAGGGTTCGGACGAAGCGCCGGATGAACCAATGACATGCCGGTCAACATAGTATTCTTGTCTTGTAATCAGTCGTGTCTTGATTTAAGTAGTTTAGGTTGTAATTGAGTTGGTTTTAGATGTAACCATACCAACTCAATTAGGGGCCCATTGGGCCTGATCTAGGGCTGAGTTGGACCTATTGGGAGGCCTATTCAGTGACCCAAAGTTGGGTCAGGCGGTGGCATCGCCAGAACAGGTGGTGGAATTGCCTATGAGCTAGAACGTACGAAGTGTACGTTTTCCGGAAGACCCAGTGGTGATACCGCCATTGTCAGGCGGTGATATCGCCCATATTTGCGGTAGTACCACCAGTACATGGTCTCCTATGTGTCAGGTGGTGGTACTGCCTAGATTGGGCGGTGCTATCGCTAGTACCTTGGAAATCCAGGATGAGACATTTTTTGGTTCCATTTTTTAAGCCATTTGGGGTCTATAAATTCCCTAGCTATTTCTGCTTGGGTATGCAAGAAATAGAGTAGAAAGGGGGAAAGAATCCTTGAGAAAAAAGTGTTGTAATCTTTTCTAAAGTTTAGAGTCTCTTCCTCCTAGAGTTAGAAGTTTTCTAATAGAGGAGTGAGGACTTGTGTAAAAGAGAGGTGTGAAGGTTCTCTCTTGAGCCTGTGAAAAGGAGCAAGAGTTGTAAGAGGATAGTTGATCTTCGTCCGTTGAAAGAAGATCGGTAGTGAAAGTCGGTGGCCTAGAATGAAGAGGAATTGAGAGTGGATATAGGTCGGGACGACCGAACCACTATAAATCTGGTTTGTATTTACTTTATGCTTTTCATTCATATTGCAAACTGATTTACTTTCTCACTACTCTTACGAACGTTTCAAGTTAAATTAATTTCCGATACGGGTTTGATCGAACGAAAATTTTCTAAACCGAGGTTTTTACGAAAGCACTAATTCACCCGCCCCCTCTTAGTGCCGTTTACGCTCCTAACAAACCCAAGGCCCCATCCACCCCGATGCCACTCAGGGGGTTCTAAAGTGTTGAGACGCTTGAAGTTTCATACCATAAGGCTGTCAACCAGAAATTAGCCTGTGGCACATGAGAACGGGGTTGTTTTGGGCCATTTTTCCCTTCGCTCGACATCACATAACCATAAATGTTTTCAAGTTTTACATGATGGTAACACAAAACAAAAACACTAACAACAAACAAAAATGGGGCTGACAGTAGTGTTTTCTGTCCCGTATATGCTGCCTATAAGAAAACACCCGAAAATGTGAAAAACAACAGGAAACAAGAACCAAAAAGCATCATGGACATACGTTGAACACCTGAACTGCATTGATTCATGACATTCTCCCCCACTTATTCCTTCAACACCCTCGTCGAAGCTTTTTGGTATGTAAAAGAATGATTGTCCATAGTCACAACTTGTTTCTCAGTTTCCGTTGAGTCATCAACTTTGATCATCCACTTTGTTGCAACTCTCCACTGAGCTAGTTCAACTAGGGAAGTTGGCTAAGTTGGTAGACTTCTCGCTGTCTTTGAATATGTTGGTTGACAAGAGAAGAGCCTTCATGTTTGTGTTCAAGCCACTTGGAGGTGTCACCTTGCAAAAGATTGATTGTACCTGGTTGGAGCTTCACCGATGCCATATTGCAGAACTCCTTGCTTTGAATGGATTTACTCAAATTCCTCTGGTTGTACTCCTTGCTCCAAACTGGTTACTTGACTTCACCCACTTTTCGCCATTGAACTTCTGGAGTGCTACAAGTGTTGCTTGAACCTAGGATAGGTTTCGATCTTATAGAGCGCTTGTCTGATAACTTTAGTTATGCCTTTGGGATTGTCTATACTCCTTTTGCGGCTGTAACTATGCTCTCCCCTTCGGAGAACAAGTTTGGTCAACACTTGAAAGACCTGTCGCTGCGGTACCATGCTTCATCCTTTGATGTTCATGGCCTTCAATCCGACGCTTTCTCAACCGAGTTCTTCTTGGGTAGTCGAGTCTCTCATAGACTCAAGGTCGTTGCAATGCCATGCCTTTACTGATCAGTTGCTTCTGCACAACTTGTGGCGTAGGAAGCATTTCCCTTATGTTCTTCCACCTATTAAACTATAACTTTTCGATGTAGTCACCACTATCCTTTTGTTGCATGGCCTCCGCCAACTCTGATTCTTCGACCGTTTGCTTAGCATTGATGATCGCTTGCCCGATCTTGCCCATCGAAAGCACTAGGTTACTTGCGAACAAAGATAAGCTTGGAGCAATTTGTCGTCTAGTAGCTTGTTTGAGAGGTCTCGGAGATTCACCCACTCTAGAAATGATGCCTAATATAGATGGTCGATTGGATCTTCGACTCTTTCATTGAGTTCAAATTTGTCGTCCAGCAGCTTGTTTGAGAGGTCCCGGAGATTCTCCCACTCTGGAAATGATTCCTAATGTGGATGGTCGATTGAATCTTTGACTCCTTCAATGAGTTCAAATTGCTATTCCATCTTGTACTTTGGTAGGAAGGGTTTTGGCAACTTAGTTGTAGACACACCAATATATTCTTAGTTGACCCTATAAGGGTCAGCGTAGACCTTAACTTCGTGTAGTCCACAAAGGACCTGCATAGTACAGAAAAGGTTGGAAAGGTGAATGTGCAGGTAATATACCGTCATTGCGCACAAAAAGGACAAGATAACTTAGATCACAAGCAATAAAAAGCAATTAACTTTTATTAGGCTTGAAAAGGTCTCAAAAACGGCCTGAACGAGCACACATAAAGGGGGTTTTGAAGGTAGATGCGGGCCCAATGGTCACGTAGTGCTTTTGTCAAATAGAAAACAAGCATACTAATGATGTTGCATCACCCCTCAAACTTATACCCAAGGCCCCATCCGCCTTGGTACTACCTAAGGGGTTCCAAGGTGCTAAGACAGCTAACACAGTTCGTTAACTAGAAATGAGCCTATTGCACATGGCTATGAGACTGTTTTGGGCTATTTTCCCTTTCGCGTGACACCACAGAGCTAGAAACGTTTCCAAGCTTTGCATGATGGAAACACAAAACAAAAACACTGACAACAAACAAAAAAAGGATTGACGGTAGTGTTTCCTGTCCTGTATATGCTGCCTACAAGAAAGCACTCGAAAACACAGAAAACAACGAGAAATAAGAATGAAAAAGTGTCATGGACATGCGTTAAACACCTAGAGTGCATTGCTCCTTGACAAAACACCACCCAAAAATTTCTTTTCCCTTCCTTGCTGACAATATCTCTTGGCTACTTGGAACAGTAAGTGCACCTCAAGTTTCATTGCCTCCATTTGATTAGACTAGGTCAATCAAGTTGATGATGTTTGACCCGGACAATCCAGTCAGTTTCAGTCAATAATGCTGACATTTCTTTTTTTCTGTCACTTCTTTAATCAATTGCTGGGTAATTTACATTTTACTGTATGGCTGCCAATTTTGCAATGATATTTTTTTCTTCCATAACTTTTGATATTAGGCACCTGAAGAATCAACGTGGATTGTTCTTAGTATGATCTTTAAATCCGAAGTTTAAGAAACAGACCCTTCTCCTTGCCATTGCATTTCTCAGTCACCTAAGTAAAATATGGGCAATTTTTTTCCTCCATTGGCACTGTATAAGGGTATTTAGTAGTTTCTTTGTTATGATGTACAGAAGCAAAAGGTAATAGTTAACTAGATTTTATATATCTCACTCTATTTATTCTCGTGATCAACTTTTGTTGCAAATGTTGCACGTAGCTATGGATAGGAAAACTAAATCTTGTATTAAATGCATTTGTATTCATATTCATGATTACAACATGTTGATTTTCTATTTTTTTCTTCAGTTAACTTCATAAATTACAAGTTGTTTACTGATAGCTATGACATCTCTTTGCTGATTGAAAGCAACACAATACAAAGTACAAAATTTTTTTAATATCAGCATTTTTGTCACAGATTCTGATTTCAATATACTGTGTAATTCCTTGAATCAATTTTTGAACTTCGCCATGCATTTTTTGAATCATGTTGACATTATATAACCTCGAGGCAAGTTGTTAAAACATTTTGTTTATGTGCAAGGTTAGCTAGAGTGGTTTTTTTTTTTCATTCAAACTGGTTGGCTGTCATGTTATATACTCTTTCATCTTTAATGTGCTGATTACTTTCCAATTTAAGCTGTCAAACAGATTCCATATGGATGTTAATCTTTGCTCTAGCATTCTGATTCTTTAATCGCAAAACTAGATGACAAACTTAACTTCGTTTGATATGTTCTGTAGGCCATGTCTAAGGCAACTGATGAAGGTATCATTTTTATTGATGGATCTGGGCCAACATATGCCACAAAAACTGTAACCACTTATTCCTATATATCGATTGCTTTTTCTTTGTTTTCTCTTTTTTTAGTTTCTAATGAATAATCTGCATAACAAAATAACAAATCATGTAGTATATGAGAATCATCTGTGCCGCTTTTTAGAAATGAGATCCACTATTTTTCATGGTGTCTGTGTGCCTGTTTACTAGAAATCCTCACAGAAGGGGAACATTTACAATGCTTTTTGCTTTGTGCTAATTTTCCTAATTGAATTCACTACATAAAAGTCCTTTAGCATTAATTTTCATTGCTTCTCTGCTTGTTGCCACCATCACTGCAAAGGATGCTGCCCGATATTGCTGCCATCATGGACAACAAAGAAATAGAGAGCAGAAAGGGAGGAGAAAAACTGAAAGAGGAAGGGAAGTAGAGAAAGAGAAAGATGAGACGGGAGGGATCAGAAATCCCAACTCATGGGATATAAATGCTGTGGCTGACATGATTTCCTTCTTAGAGGATCATCTCCTATTACAATCTTAATTGGAAATCTCCCATTCTCGGATCTCAACCATGCAGAGACATGAGTCCCACCCATCGACCATTTTTAAACCAATTTTTAATTTTTCTCATCTTGCAAAAAGACATGGGAAGGGAGGAGAAAACAGAAGAAAAGAAGAGAAGAAAAGCGAAGAGAAAATAAGTGATGGAGATGAGAATAAATAATAGAAAAACATAATTGAAACAGAATTATTTTTACAATGTTCTTTAAATATAAGATAAAAATGAAAAACTATTATTTAATTTCATATGTTATTGTCTTAGTCTTTTGCTTTTGCCATAAATACCCCCCTTTTTTTTTTTGCTTATGTTTCTGAAAGATAAAAGAGAAGAGAAAAGAGAAGAAAGAAAGGGAAGGAAAATGAAGAGACGGGATAAGAGAACAAAAAAAAAAAACATAAATAGAGTGGTTAATTATATTATTTTAAATGTAAGATAAATTTAAGAAACTAATGTTAATCACACATTTTCATGTCTTATTCTTTTTCTCTTGCCTAGCTGAACACTGGCTTGCATTTGCAGTCTCCCATACTACACTGTTCACCAGCTAGATGCATTGGACATTTAACAGTGGGAAAAGTTCCATGTGCCAACCCCAAAGGTTGGAAATTTGTGACTTATTCTTGCTGTATTGATAATATGTGATTGAAAAGAAGTCAACTAATGATGGTTGCTAATTAGAGTTTGCATGTACTAGGGAGGTGTTTGTGGTTCCCAGTAGATATTTTGTCATTTGATAGATAATGAAGAAAATCACACAATGATTTGCAAGTTTGAAAGGCACAGGTTCTGACTTACAATCATAAGAAAGATCTTCTATTCTAATATGTTATAATATTAATTGATCTTACATGTGAACTGAAAGTTGTAAATATTAAAAGTGCTGCATGTGTTTAACTTTTTGGACCTTGTTAGTGGAATCCTTCCATTGGACTTGCACATGATCACACTCACTGAAACTTTGTTAGTTTATTTTGTCCATAAATCAGAGTATATTTTAAATAAGATAATTCTGGTGATTTTAATACTAATGTTGTTGTTTACCTTTTACATTTATTTATTAATAATCCAGCTATAATTTGCAGACATTTGAAGAAGCACTTATTGCAGCCGGTGCAGGGATTTCCTTAGTTGATTCAGTGGTAATATAATAATTGGGAAATCTAGCTTTGTTTCTCCATCTTGTTGTTTATGTCAATTGTTCACACTTCTTTCCATGAATTGTTTCACATCCCTCTGTTGCAATTGTGTTCAAACTTTTAGTCACAAGGTAAAAGGTATATGTAAAATATATGTTTCTTTATGGTCTACTCTTTATATCATTATTGCTATTATGATTTAGTAAATCTTTCCCTGCAGTGTTTCTTTGCCAACAAATATGTATGTTTGTCTATAGGTTGAAGCATCAATGGCCACCCGCAATCCACCTATAGGATTTGCCTTAGTACGACCACCTGGTCATCATGCAGTTCCAAAAGGTCCTATGGGTTTTTGTGTCTTTGGAAATATTGCGGTTGCTGCGCGCCATGCACAACATGCACATGGATTGAAAAAGGTTCTTATAATTGATTTTGATGTTCACCATGGTAATGGAACATGTGATGCATTTTATGATGATCCAGATGTATTCTTCATTTCTACTCATCAGGTTAGTTGGTTTTTTTTCACATATTATATGAGTACATCCATGATAAACCTTAGATTTCTTTAGATTATCTCCCCTGCTGCAAATAAGATAAGCTGTATGCAATTGTTACAGCAGGTTGTATGGCTTTGTACTTGTTGTGTGGATAAATGTGTATGTACTGCCTCAAATATTTCATTATAAAGTTTAAATTAAAAAGTTTATCAAAGTTAATATTGGGAGGGAAAGAGTTTGAATTTTTTTTAACATTGTTCATTGCCTAAATATTTAATTATCTGATATTTAGTGTTCTTTTTTATCATTATACATTATAACAATGCAATCAATATTGAAGATATGCTTATTCATGGGACTCTTACTTCTCTTAGTAGTTGTTTTTACTTTTCATGGATGCAATTAGCATAGAGGTGTACAGTCTGTTTGGAACCTGTTTAGAGCATTATGGCAATTGATTCCTTTGCTTATAAATTACCGGTGATATATGATTACGAAGCCAATAAGTTTATGAGTAGTTAGTTCTTATTATTTCAAACTGTTGACAGAGATTGCAGATATAGTGATTTTTGAAGTTAGAGGCTAGTTTAGGTTGAAGTCATCTGATTGATACAGAACATTTTATTTTATAATGCTTAATAAAGATTTATGTTGCACTGGTAGATGCTACCATTTCTCATATATTGGTAAGATTTACCTTCTTTTGCACTATTGAATTGTGTTTCGACACTGGATCCCACATTGCTTTAGGAGAACCTGGCTTTTCACTCTTGAATTTCTGTGGGAATCTGTTTGATATAGGTTGGAAGTTATCCTGGTACTGGCAAGATTGAACAGGTTGGTCAAGGCAGTGGTGAAGGAACAACACTTAATCTGCCTCTACCTGGAGGGTCAGGAGATAATTCAATGAGATCTGTATTTGATGAGGTCATTGTTCCATGTGCCCAAAGATTTAAGCCTGACATAGTTCTTGTTTCAGCTGGGTCAGTTTCTCTGTCATTTACTATGCTTCTTGCTATTTTCTGGTTGCAGGAAGCAAAACAATATGATATTATTTAGGAAGGCAAAAGTGAAAAATGTTAGTACAGAATAAACTTGCTGATACCTTGTATACACTGGTAACACCTTTGGAGAAAAAATGTGACATTTAGAAGTCTCTGTAGCATCACATTCTTAGCTTTTGAACAAAAGCTCTAGTGATTAGCCCAATAACAAGTTTGTACAAATGCAACAACTTTATATATGAAATAGGAATTGGAGCTCATTTTTCAATGGTCATGCAGATGACTCATGCCACTACTAAAGTTTTCTTAGGTTCCTTTTTATCTCTTTTCACATCACTGATTTTAACTAATTCACCTCATCTAGTCATGACAACTATATATAGAAACTACAGTTAATTACATAATGAACTCAAGTTGTTGAAAGAGGTCTTAAAATAGGATCCTGAGGGCTCTGTAGTCTGACCATGGAGCTATCTTTTAGTTTAAAATCTTTTTCATCAATCACATCATGGATCTTATGCAACTTCTATATAGAAACTGCAAATGCAGTTATTCTTCCAAGAATTTTACTTAATTTCCATCTGTTGGCCAATATCTTTCAATTCAGCTCCAACCTCTGTAATAAAAAGTTATGGGATACTGCACATAGCGGGCTCTCTTTCTAAAAACTCTAGTGCATGATGTTTCAGAAACATAGGAAGAATGATGGTGTCAACCTCGTATTAGCAAATCAAAGATCCACCATAGTGCATAGAGTAATGTTGTACATCAAACTCTCGATCTTTAATTTCTTATTTACTTTGCAGTTATGATGCTCATGCATTGGACCCATTAGCTGGTCTGCAATTTACAACTGGCACATACTACATGCTAGCATCAAGCATAAAGCAACTTGCAAATGAGCTATGCGGCGGACGCTGTGTGTTCTTCTTGGAAGGTGGATACAATCTCCAATCTCTGTCTAGTTCTGTTGCTGATACCTTCCGAGCATTCCTTGGGGAACCAAGCTTGGCTTCCCAGTTTGATGATCCTGCAATGCTGTATGAAGAACCCTTGTCTAGAGTGAAAAAAGTACTTCAGAAGGCCAAACACATACATTCTCTCTGAACTTTTGAGAATTGCATACTGTAGTCATTAAAAATTTATCAGTCAACCCATAAGCTTTTAGTCATTTCCAGTTGTATATTTTGATACACATTGCATAATAGAAAATGGTACATATTTTTCACTCAAGATAAAGATTCAACTACATGGCGGATTAGATGCCAAGTATATTTAAGACTATTGTAGAATAAATGGCTTGGTCGAAGATTCCTTCTTTCTAATAACATATGCTAATAATAGATTTTAGAGAAAATAGCACATCTTTTGTATACTTGATATTCTGACATGAATGATGACTACCTTCTGTTTCTTCTGTATGGTTGTTAGTTTGTGAGATAATTCTTACCATCTTTGTCTTACAAGAATCTTATTTGTTTCTTTTTACAAAATTAGGGGTTTAATTATAGGATGGTAGGCCTGTAAGAATCAGTCTAATGGAACTATTGATTGATACAAAGCTCATCTTTATCATACAAGAATCATATGTCGGTTTGTGATGTATGAATGATGGACCACTACCATCCCTTTTCTTCCTGTTGGTTGTCACAGAAGTATTGGATGTTCCTTCCTAGTAAAATTAGAGGACTAATTACCAGCGTCATGTCACCCCTCAGATATAATTTGTTTTCCCTTATCTACAACATGGAAAATCCAAACTTCTTTTGTTCTCTGTCTTTTCCAGAAGCCAGATAAAATTGGATTGACGTCATTTTCATCTCTCTGATGCTCTTCCTTCTCTGCTTTCTTAAGGGAAAAAAAAATTAAGAGTTGAAGTGTTCTATATATCCTCACTCTCTTTTGAATAATCTTCGATGGTGACATTCAAAAGATAATGACTTCACAAGGTAGCTGCATGTAAATAGTGCTCTCTCTCCTCTTTGAATTTATTCCAGAAAGAGAGGATAGCAAACTTTGTCTTTGGGGTAGATCCTATATCCATACGAGTTCTCAGCCAATAGAACTGATAACTTTGGTTACACAGTCAAATTGCACTTAAGGATGTGGACGGCACAACGGAGATGTCAATGGCGTCTCCAACAATAACCCTGGGAAAAATATAGGGAAGTGAGGCAGTGACTCTACAGACTCTTTGAACACTACTTTGTCTACCAATGGAATTACAAATTCTAGAGAGGAAAATACTTGTGTGCTAATGGAATTTTAATCCTTAAGAGGATGATGATGATGATGATGTCTTTCAGATTATTTCAAATTCTATCAGTCGCTCATGTTTACTAGTCATATCTTCTGCAGTAAGTGATTTTGCACCTTGAGGGAGAGTCATAAATCGACTTTATATATAATTTAATATTCTTGATGCATGGTCTATCTACCGGATAGCGGCAAAATCATAGAAAGGTAGATCATGTTTACTGGTTCAATGCCAGCTTCAGACACCGTACATCGTGGAGGACCAACTCTGACATAAATGACCAAGGAAACTTATCGTTTTTTATTTTTTGGCAAAACTATCCAAAATTAAATAATCCAAATAGTTATTTTGAAGATTTTCAAGTGATCATTGTAAAATCTATATTTGTAATTTATATTCAAGTATTTATTAAAATAATTATTTATTAAATCTCAAGTTAAATGTTTTCTTTGACCCATCTTTACTTTTTGTAAATTCTTAAGAAACTTTTGTAAGTTCTTAGGCAAAATTAACTAAGTTTGTGACCGATAATATTATATTGAGATAAGTACACTTAAGAATATTTGGCATGTAAACGTGGCGGACTTAAAGGGGTTGTGTTGAGGGTAACCAATACGTGCAATTGTTTGAGGGAGGGGCATAGAGATGTAGGCAAATGAGTTACTCAAATGAGTGGGCATCCAAGATTGATATTCGAAGGAATGGCCAACCCTTCGAGCAAGAGACACCACGAGGACAAACAAGTTGGGAAAAACATGCAGTGCATAAAGGTTGGGATGGTTGAGTTCGAGCTACGGCTCAATGCTGACAACCAAAATTGACGGTGCTCAAGGCAAGCAGGGTACTTAGTAAAGGATGAGACCATGCAAAGAGGGATGGGTTGCTCGGCAACCAAAAGAGTTATGCAAAGCTCGTAGAGGTGATAAGAATTGCTAACTTAAAGAATTCAATACTCATGCAAGGACTTATATACAAACGATGGACTATCCGTGACCATCCCAATTCGACTAAAATTTAGTGCTATGGAGTATTAAAATTTTCTTTTCAATATAGGAATAATATATCCGTAAGAGACTAAAGTGTGTAGTAAGTTCAACATGTTACTAGGCCTTGAGGGGCACAATGAGGGTTGTATTAGCAAAGAGTCTAACAAGTGCATTTGCGATGGTAGAACAGCATAGTTTGTTTAACAAGGTGAAGTAGTCCAAGGAGATGGTGGTTTCTAAAACTTTTAGAGGGAAGGATGTGAAGAAAAATATTACTCAAATATGATAGATATCTAGAAGGGACAAGTCTCGGTTCTCTAGAGGAAGAATTATATACAACGAACCACACATATTGAGGAGGGATACCTCAAAATTATAGCTTCATAAATCTCAACAGACTAAGCGAGCGACAAGAAGTCATCACATGATCTCATATAAAGTGATGCATTGGTGGGTACATTATCAGGTTTAGTAGGGAAGCGACCCAAGGTAATACCAAACGAAGACACACTTAGAGTTAATATGAAGATCAAACTCAATAGGGGGCTAATCTATGGAATGGTGTGTGCGAAGGCTATCATCAACTCGATGTAAATCGAGAAGCGGAGCAACTTAGGTAGAACTTGGTGAAGTGAGCATGCCACATAAAGGGAGTTGACATAGAAGATAGAATATGAAGTGGAGCATAAAGATTTTCTTGGATAGAGGTCGAAAACATAAACTTTTGCAAAGGCAAGAGTGAGATTATGTCGTTTTGTGGGTCTCTTATTTTGATGGAGTAGACTTATCTTACATGATGCCAAAGTTGAAAGGAGTTTCGAGACATATGTACCTTATCTCGATGAAGCATTTGACGGAGGCACTAAGGCAACTCAAATTCGGGGGTCAAAAAGTTTCATAAAGCGTTCTTGATGGAAAAAAATGTATTTGATCCACGAATCTAAGAAATAGTGAGAATTCTTGATCTCTCTCAATATCTCTCTCAATTCGACGATCCAGAATTTGAATTGATGTCGTCTCATAAATCCCTCCTAAAGATTTTATTTCAACTAAAGATTTTATTTCAATTGGAATTTGGTTATTTATATGATATACTTATTTATGATATACTTATTTATACGAAACTTATAGAAGCGAAATTGGGGTCATAAAGCCTTGGCACAGGGCAAGAGGATATAGAGACAAGTACTTTTGAATAATATATCATAGTGTTACCATTCGAGTTACCATAAAGGAAATGGTATGCAGCAAAGATTGTGTTGGGGGCAAAGGCATAAGATCCAAATAATGGCGCACCAGTTTCAATGATGTCGGTAGGCTTCGAGAGCTATTGGGTGATGGACTATCCTAGAGTTGTGCTTCATCTATGTATGATCTAAGAGTGGGTGGATGAAGGTCAATTGTTAAAAGAGCGAATACAATCGGAGGTGGCAAAAGCCCTATGATGTGTTGGCAGAGGACACATATAGAGAGATCGTAGTCCGAGTTCATCCCACAAGGATCAGAATGTAATGGAGATGAAACTATGAGACAACATGATGTAGCAAATTATGGTGAAATAGTTCAAGGCAATGTGACACATACGAGAGAAGTCCCATAATGGACTTGATCATACGAAGGTATGATTGAGAGCTATTAGGAGCTCCACTTCGATGAACAACATGACAACAAGGACTATGAATTTAAGGAGTGAATGTCATGATACCACAAAGATGGGTCTTCTATGTGTGCATCAAATTTTATACTAGATGAAAGCCTTGGTTATCAGCATATGAGAGTTGTGTACTTCCGAGAGGGATTATGAGTGCAAATACTAGTGAATCCCATGGGAGACTTGATTATACAAAGGTATGATCAGAGCGATTGAAATGTTAGACTACTTCAAGCTTATATTCACTTAAGGGAGCTTGATAAGTTAAAGTCCGAGACCGAGTGAGCGAATATTACTACTAAGGCTACAAATGAGAATAGAATCAACATAAGTCCTACAACATGGTGGCAGAAGTCATGCATGAGAGTTGTAGTTTGTCTTTCCATTGACTAAGGGGAATTGCTCAAAGAACACAAAAGTGTTAAAGTATGCGGTTGAAAATGGAGAGAAAGCGATGACAATGTTAGGACTGTTTTGACACTAAGAGGAGAAGGAGTAGGAGGAGGGGGTGGGGGGGGTGGTGGGGGCTTTGGGTTGGGGTTTGGTGGGTGGTGGGGGCGGGGTCGGTTTGAATTAGTGCTTTCGATAAAAACATCGATTTGAAAATTTTGCTCGATAAAGCCCGTATCAAAAAGTGTTTAAGCTTAGAAAGCAAGTGAGAGTAGTAGACAATTGAATCAATAAGTAATGACAATGAAAAGCAAAAAGAAAGTGCAAACTGAGTTTTTTGTGGTTCGGTTGTCACGACCTACGTCCACTCCTAATTTCTCTTCTATTGAGGCTACCAGCATTCACTAATGATCTTCTTTCAATCGGTGAAGACCAATTACCCCCTTATAACTGCTTCTTTTTTTCACAGGTTTAGGAGATAACCTTTACAAATCTCACACCTTTCTTAGAATGATCATAAAACTTTAAGGCAGAGGAGGAGGATACTTAGCACTTTTTCATAACTTTTCAACTCAGAATCATAGCCCCTTTCTACTCTGTTTCATGCTAACCAAGCAGGAAAGAGTAGGGTATTTATAAACCCCAAATGACTTCAAAAATAGAGCCAAAAAATTTCTCATCCTAGGTTTCCTAAGTCCTAGCTGTACCACTATCATTACTGGGCGGTACCATCGCTTGCCAAACTGACACTAGGTGGTACCACCACCTGACATAATCTGGAAGACTATGTTTAGGCGATGCCACTGCCTAACACCAGTGGTACCACCGCTCAGGTTTCCCAGAGATGTACATTGTCTCAAGCGGTTCCACCGCCTGACCTAGCAGTACCACTACTTTGGGCTAGCTTCATAATATTGAACTGAGCTTTTCAATAGGCCTAATTCAATCTTGATTTAGGCCCAACTGACCCCTAATTAAGTTGGTATGG